TCTCTCTCCCCTCCACCTCTCAGAAGTAAATAAATAAATCTTAAAAAAAAGAAAAAGAAAGGTGAAGTAACAAGTTTACATAGCTGGTGAGGCTCAGAACAAGTATTCAAAACCAGATGTATGTGACAGCAAAATCCCTGCCTCTGAAATGAGGTATGCAGGGATGCCTGGGTGGCTCAGTTGGTTAAGTGTCTGCCTTAGGCTCAGGTCATGATCCCAGGGTCCTTGGACAGAGCCCCGCATCAGGATCCCTGCTCAGCGGGGAGCCTGCTTCTTCCTTTCCCTTTGCCCCTGCCCCTCCCCCACCCTGCTTGTGCTCTCTCTCAAATAAATAAAAATCTTAAAAAAAAAAAAAAGAAGAAATGAGTTATGTATACCCCGCAAAATACATGGTAATGTGAAATCACAAGATCAGTAGGTATCTCAGGGGATCTAATCTTAAGGAAAAAAAATTATATTTTCTCAAAAAAATCACATAATCATCAAACTCTGAACTTTTGCATTTGCAAAAATTTAAATCTAATACATTTTATAATAAAATAAACATGGATTAGAATACAGAGTAAAAGTCAATACTAGCACAAAATTTTGAGATAGAGCATAACTTCAAAGAAATTTTGTATCAGGAGCTTCTCACAGGTCTTAAGTCACCTCCAGCATGTACTGAGCAATGCAGAGGAATGAGTGGGCCTATCTCTACCTTCTTCCACTAGGACTACTTGGATGATAATGTTTAAGAAGCACTTAGAGCATGTGACTTCCCATTTCTGATTATATCAACTGTGCACAAACACACTGAAGAAAAAATAATTTTCATATTTCATCTGAATAAAAAAAGCAGTGCTTATCTCTTCACATTCATGTTAAACCCTCAATTATAGACAGTAAGTTTATATCCCCAGAGTTTTCCTTCAGGCATGCCTATTACTCCTAATTATTCCTATTATTCCTAACAGGCCCAGAAAATGAAAGATAGGTAAGCACTTAGATCCATATTCAAGAATAATACATATATATAACAAAAAGAGTAAGTGGTAAATTGACTGGATGGGAGGTTTTAGCCGGTACAATAAGAAAAAAAAAGCACCTGGAACTCTTAGATTGAAAAGGAAGAAATAAAACTGTCTCTTAGCAGCTAACATGTTCATGTACATAAAAATTCCTTAGGAATCTATAATAAGGCTACTAGAGGTAATAATTTAGCCAGGTTGCATGATATGAGATCAATGTACAAAAACAAATTTCTACATACTAAGAAGCCAATAACTGAAAACTGAAATTAAATAAAATCATGTGTAACAGTATAAACAAAGATATAGATATATTTATCACAATATTTGAAAGACCTCCATGCTGAACCTACAAAATACTGCAAAGAGAACTTTCAGATGTCATGAATAAATGGAAAGATCTCATGTTCATGGACTAGAAGATTCAGTATTAAGATATTAAAGCCAGCATCCATCTTGTCAGTTCAGATGAGAAAATGAATACCAAAGGGCCTACTATCCTTGGGCACGGCTGGACTGGCCAGGGAACCTGTAGGAATACAACCCCACTAGCTTACAAGTAAAGATATAATCACCAAAATGTACTTAATGAAATTTCTAACATATAGAATAAAGGTATTTTTAAGATTCCAAGTCTCTTGAGATGGAAAAGATCTCTGAGGCACCAAAGCAGTACTAGAGTACCTGCTAACATGGGCCTCCAATCAGTGGGGCTGACCTTCTCAGGAGGGCCCCTGCCCCAAAATTTGCCTTTAAAAACCTTCACTTGCAAGCCATCAGGTAGTTCAGGTCTTTAGAGCATTAGCTCCCTGTTACCCTGGGTGGTGCCACACCAGTATCATTGTTCACTGCAAAAGACTGGTGTCAGTTTTTACTGGCTTGATGTTCATCAGGTGGACGAACTCTCATTTGGTTCAAGTTTACAATATCAATTCTCCCCAAATTTGCCTACAGATTCAAAGTAATCCCAATAGAAATCCCAATGGGTCTTCTGTATTGATTCTAAAATTTATATGGAAATGCAAAGATCTAGAATAGCTAAAACAATATTGAAAAAGAAAAACAAAACTGAAGAATTTATACTCCTTGATTTCATGACTGATTGTATAACATACCAGTAATCAAGTTTTAGCATAAGGACATATAAATCAACGAAGCAAAAAAGAAAGTCCTGAAATAGACGCACACATACACATGATCAATTGGTTTTGAAAAAGTACCAAGGGGGGCGCCTGGGTGGCTCAGTTGGTTAAGTGACTGCCTTCGGCTCAGGTCATGATCCTGGAGTCCCGGGATCGAGTCCCGCATCGGGCTCCCTGCTCGGCGGGGAGTCTGCTTCTCCCTCTGACCCTCTTCCCTCTCGTGCTCTCTATCTCTCATTCTCTCTCTCTCAAATAAATAAATAAAATCTTTAAAAAAAAAAAATTAAAAAAAAAAAAGTACCAAGGAAGTCAATGAGCAAAGAACAGTCTTGACAAAAATGCTGCTGAAACAACTGAATATCCATATGGAAAATAAACCCTTAAGTTATACCATCCCACAATATTAATTATATCGCAAACCTAAAATATAAGAGCTAAAACCATAAAATTTCCAGAAGAAAACATATGAGAAAATGATTGCAATAAAAATTTAAGGAACATCTCTTTGAATGACAGTTTAAGAAAACATAAAGGCAATCTATAAAGTACGAGACAACATTCACAATACATATATTTCACAAAGTACTTAATGCAGCATATATAAAGAATTCTTGTAACTCACTCATAAAACAAATATTTAATTTTAAAAAAAGGACAAAAGATTTACACAAGCATTTTAAAGAAAATACACAATAAGAATACTAAAAAATGCTCAGTATCATTAGTCACCAAGGAAATGCAAATCAAAACCATAATAGTATTATAAATTCATCAGAATAACTATTACAAAGTTACAATATAAGAGTTGACAAGGATGTGAAGCAATGTGAAATCTCATATTGCTGTGGGAATGCAAAATGGTACAACCACTTTGGAAAATACATTGGCAGTTTCTTATAAAGTTAAATGTACATTAAACATTACACTCAGAAATTCTACTCCTAGTTATTTACCCAAGAAAAATGAATGAAATGAAAACACACATCTATACCAGATATTCACAACAGCATTATTCATAATAATCTCAAACTGGAAATAACTCAAATCTCCACTAAAAGGTGAGTGGATAAACAAATTGTGACATAGACAGACACATCAGGATGCTACCCAGCAGTAAAACAGAATGAATTACTGAAAGAAAACATGCAACAGAGACAAATCTCAAAAACACTTTGTTGCACCAAAAAAGCCAGAAAAAAGATTATACTACACTCTTATGATTTCATTTACATGAAATTATAGAACACAAAAAACTAAACTATAATGACAGAAAGACATCAACACCCAGGGTCTGAGTTCCATGGGACAGGGGAAGACATCAAGTAGCTTTTTGGAGTGATGTGGATCTTCCATATTTACATATCTGTATTTGGCAAAATCAATCTGCACACTTATTAAAGTTGATTTAAAAATCCCTCCAAACATAGGTTCAGTGAAATAGGACAGAGTGTGTTTAAATCAAGGCAGCCCATGTTAGACCAGTTTATAAATATTTATAAAGAAGCCATATAAAAAATACAGAATTAAGATAAGGTTGAGGAGATTAAAAAAAAAAGATTGAGGAGGATTTCATCATACTTCTGGTATTATAAAGACAATCACCCCGCAAAAAAGGAGTGGTGAGTCTTCAATAAAACTGATTCTAACAGAAGGTTTAAAAATACACAATAGGGGCACCTGGGTGGCTCAGTCAGTTAAGCATCTGCCTTCAGCTCAGGTCATGATCCCAGGGTTCTAGGATCGAGCCCCGCATCGGGCTCCCTGCTCCGCGGGAAGCCTGCTTCTCCCTCTCCCACTCCCCCTGCTTGTGTTCCTTCTCTCACTGTATCTCTGTCAATAAATAAATAAAATCTTTAAAATAAATAAATAAATAAATAAATAAATAAAATAAAAATACACGATAGCTCTGATTACAATATATTTTTGAAGAACTCTTTCAAAAACCAGGTTTTTAAGGTGAGCAGTCAATGCATTTCCTGATTTCCTTTCTAATTACAAGAGGAAAACAAAGCAGAACTCAACCTGACTAACCATTTCATGAGGCTCTCTAAAACATTTTTTTTAAACTTAGCCAAAACCCACTTTATAGCTTTATCTTGCTTAACCTTCCTTAAACCAGTCTATTCACTGCACTTTCTAAATTACAACTTACACACTATTATATACAAAGCTTGGTGTTTGAAATGCCAGATACAGAATAGACAATATAGAAGTCTGTGGCCAGCAGCAGTTCTAGCTACTTTTTAGACTCAGAGTTTTATTATTATGCCCTTAGTTCAATGTAGGTACTTAAGTTTAGGTACCACTGTCTGAAGAATTCATGGCTAGCAAATGATACTTTCAAAAAAGAAAAGAAAGAAGGAAAAGAAGGAAAGGGAGGGAGGGAGGGAGGCAGTAAGGATTAATTAATGGTTTTCTGTACTAAATAATACCTTTTTACATACTTTCAGAAACATACCATCTAACAATGAAGCAAATTCTATTACTTTCAGTTAGGGTTCCTGAATTCTAATATGGGTCCCAATTCTCCTAGTTATGGAGAAGTACAAACTTGCAAAATGTGTTAGCAACACACTACATTACTTTCTTATATTTTAATTTAAATTCCCCAACATCTCTGTTATAATACTTGCTTTACACATGAGTAAATGAATGAAGCTCAGAGAGGTGTGTAACTGGCCCAAACTACCAAATGACAGAGCTATGATTCAAAATCACTTTAACTCCGAAATTCATGCTCGTAAGTACCATGCTGTAATTCCTCACAAAGAGAACTCAATTACTCTAAGAGGTCTACATAAACTTGGGAAAAGAGTGACAAAGATAATTTTTTTAAAACTCCATTTACCTTCAGGGGACGCAGAGCACCACAAAATTTTGTCCACCAGCTGTTTTCAATGAATTCTAAGTGCCTCTCTCTTTTCCTAAGTGTTCGTAACCTTTCTTCAAATTGTTTTAAGGCACGTTTATCCCTTGCTGGCAAAGGTCGACCATCTTTGCTCTGCAAATTCAGAACAAAATAAAACAGTTTTTTACCATTAAGGTCTTAGTAAAGTACCCATCAGATTTATCAAATCATGCAACAAAACCTTTTTTAGGTTGGATACTCCTTAGGCAAATTTACAAACTGAAAAAAAAAAAATGACATCTTTGTGACAATACACATCTCTGAACCAAGATCAGCATCAAAATATAGATGTGTGTACATTTAATACTGAACTTCTTGATTCCTATTTTCCAAATATATGGTAAAGTTATGTGGAAAGGAGATAAATATCTTTAAAAATGCCCTTTTTATGGGGTACTTTATTCAATTTGTTCAATTACTCTCTCTCACCTCCAAGCTCCTCTTTCTATCCCTTATCTTAGTATATTTGGTTCTACCCCTTCTCTCCCTTTGGTCAGCCCCCGATTCAGATACAGCAGAGGGATGTAATACCAGTATGTGCTATGCAGAGGTATTTATAACAATTGCTAAGAAATGTCACTTTCTTATTCTCCAAGGACTTTTGCACATAAGTTATCTTTTCTTTGGCCAGCCTACTGAGAGGTAACTTTCATCCATCTATTTTTATCTGATGCTTACTATAATCATAAGCAGTACCTTTCTCAATGGTGGTTCAAAGATAACACTTTCCTGCTTGAACTCCCCTGCCCACAAGTGTCTTCAATTGGATACAATAATTAGTTACAATAAATGACAATTGCTAAAAATAAACAAAAAAAGGTAACATAAATTTGTTTGCTTTTATTGGAAGCAACAAGAAAAATATTTACATGGAACTGCATTTTTAAAATGTAAAGACATCAGGGGCATCTGGGTGGCTCAGTTGGTTAAGTGTCTGCTTTTGGCTCAAGTCATGATCCTAGGGTCCTGGGATTGAGCCCTGAATCAGGCTCCCTGTTCAGTGGGGAATCTGCTTTCTCCTTCTCCTCTGCCCGCCCCCCCAACTCATGCTTGTGCTCGCTCTCTCAAATAAATAAAATCTTTAAAAAAATAAAATGTAGGGGCACCTGGGTGGCTCAGATGGTTAAGCGTCTGCCTTCGGCTCAGGTCATGATCCCAGGGTCATGGGATCGAGCCCCACATCAGACTCCTGGCTCAGCGAGGAGCCTGCTTCTCCCTCTGCCTCTCTCCCTGCTCATGCTTTCTCTCTCTTTATCTCTGTGTCTCAAATGAATAAAATCTTTAAAAAATAAAAAAATAAATAAAATAAAATGTAAAGACATCAGATATTAAAATGTTAATATCCCTATTCAGATTTAAATAGGTTCTTAAGAGAGAGACAACAAAATTGCTCTCTAGCATATGCAGTGCAGCCTCATCTGAAATCATAGCTATAATGAAGACAATATCCAAATATCCTTTAATAAAGATACCTGCACAGTAATAATGATCTCTTTACATAATGGCACTGCCATACTCTTCTGGAACCAGCCGTCGTCTTCCATACTTTATCAAACTGCTTCTCAAACTTTATCATGCATAACAATTACCTTGTTAAACACAGATTTCTAGACCCTATAACTAAAATTTAGTTGGTCTTGGGTGGGGCCTAAAATGTGCATTTCTACCAAAGTCCCAGGAGATTCTGGTGCTACTGGTCCAGAGGCCATACTCTGCATACACTAGACTATATTTAATTATCTTCATTCCTTTAAGTACAATGGGTACTATCGAACTTCTTCCCAAGAAAAAGGAACCTCAAGGAAAGGTATTTTTGGAAGGACAAAGGAATAAAACAAACATTCCCTTCTAGAAGATAGATCCAGGCAATAATACTTCAAGTGTGTGGCATGAGAAAGGTACAGTACTTTGTATCGTAAACATATAATTTTTCTCAGAAATGCCATTCTAATATCCAAAGGATACCAACAATGAGGTAGTTTTATTTAACTAGCTTTCACTATTTCAGAAAAAAAGTTAATAAACCAATTTAAGGGTCCACTAAAAATAAACCCAAGTTATATATCTGTCTACTTGGTGAATATTTCAGTGGAGTAAGGGCTTTGCCTCTGCTTTGCCTATTGACCAAAACAATATAAGAATAATTTTGGTCAGAGAAACAAACACCAGGATAGAAACCCAGCAGCTAACTAATTATCTCATCTGGAAAAAAAAATGTAATTATAAAGCATATGAATACATACCTTTTGTTTTAAAAAAAGTAAAACGTGAAAGCTTCCCTTCATACTATCCCAGAGTACCACTGCCCTTTCCTACTGTTACCTCCATTAAGCAATACAACATCCTTCTAGACCCCCTGGGGGTCTATGAATATTTCATATTTTGTCTTTTATAAATTTCCACCTAAACTTATGAAAAACTGTCATCTCTACAATATTCAGTCTTCCCAATCAGGAACTGATGAAGTTCTCAATATATTTCAGTCTTCTATTATGTATTGCAATAAATTTTATTTAATTTCTACCAGGACAATTCTGACATTTCTTATTATTTTATAGTCTGCAGCTATTGTGAATGAGACCATTTTTTACTCCATCTTCCAACTGTTTAATGATTTCTATATGTTTGTATCCAGGCACTTTGATGAACTCTTATTAGTTCCATTAATTTGTCGATCATTCTTTCAGATTTTCTTGGTAGATGATATGTGAATAATAAGTATATTTCCCTTTTCCTCTCTCTCCCTCTTATGTTTATACTTGCATTCTTTCTTATCTGACAAGGACCTCCAGGAATATGCTAATGAGCAGCAATGATACTGGCCACACTGACCTATGTGTGACTTCAATGGGAATGTTCAATTCATCATTAAGTATGACACTCATTATAGATTTCCTTTCCTAAGCACTCTCTTCTCTTCTAATCTGGTAAGGCTTTTTTTCAAAAACGTAACCACAATTGACTTTTACTAAATATTCTTTAGCAGCTATTAAAATGCTTATATTTCTCATTAAAATGTTAATATCCCTATTACATTAAACTCAATACATTAAACTACTTTAGTAGATTTTCTAATGTATCATCCTTGAATTTCTAGGATAAACCTAATCTGATAATTATAAAATATTCTCTTATTACAACACAGGTTTGAATTGCTAATATTTTTCTTTATATTAAAACATTTGCTTCTAAGAAGTTCATGAGAGACCAGTACATATGTAGTCTTTTTTTGTATGCAATTATCATCTGATTTCTGTATCAGGATTATGCTAGTTTAATACAATTTAGAAAACTTATTTTCTAAATAATGCTTAGAAATGTTCTATAAATAGGTTTTATGTGTTCTATAAGTATTATTTATCTGTTCTAAATATTTTCTATAATATTTATCTGTTACTTGAGGTGACAGAGGAAAAAAACTTCATTGTGTTTTTAGAAGTACATTCAATTGGCAAGTGATGACATGGAATTTTTAGCTTATTCCACTAGTACATAAAACTTGAACATAAGTGATACAGTAAAATCTGATGTTACACATAAAATCAACATACCTGGGAATAAGCAAGGTCTTGATCATACCTGAGCAAAACTTTTGCTTTTACTTGTTAGAACACTGATAGAAATTCTCAAATTGTCAGTGTCTTGCATTTCACAGAGGACAAATTTTAAAACCATGGACATAGTTTGTTACAGATATGTTGCAAAAAAATTCAACTGATGTCAAATATATGGGATTGCCAATGTCTAAGTCATACCAGAAAGTAGTGCAAAGACAATGTGCTTTTATGCTTCCCAATTGCAATAAAATAACAACTCACTTTTGATTTAATCGTTTGAATGTGCTGCTCCACTTCCTCAATGTCTTCAGTGTTTTCTAAACGTTCATAAGCAGCACTTCTGGTGCCTTTTATTAGATTTAAAGGTAATGCAGACATGCCATAGGCCTAAAAGAAACAAAATTAAAATGTGTTTTAGTACTACTATTTTATACATATAATTTTGAGGGAAAAACGTCCTTTAAACTTTAAAGCAAGTGCAAGAGTAAGCAGTTGTGAAGGATTATAGTCACTGAAGAACACAGTACATGGAAATGAATCATGACATACTGCCTCATAATTCTCTTATTTCACAGTTATATAAACTGACATCTGTAATACTAACTATTCACAGAATAGATAACATGTATTTTTCAAAGGAAAGTTGCAAAATTAGTGTAAAAAGAATACCAAAGTAATAAACTGCAACTTCAGATTAATGAGGGGTTAAGATAGTGTGAATTAGTAGAAACACTTTATAAAATTATTTTCTATGGAAAAAACAATTTTATCCAACAATATATATAGTAAACCCTGACTAAATTTTTAATACATACATATTATTTAATTAGCATACCAATTATCTGTATACAGTTTATTATAAGTTTTAAGTATAATTAATCATTTTGCTAAGTATTTTAAGTATTTTCCTACAAGTATTTTCTAATGTTAATCAGCATTAAGAATAAACATATTTTATATTTTTCTATATTAGCCAGTCCCAAATGATGATTTTTAATTGTAACCATTAAAAACACTTAATGACAATTGCCACATGACCGTTATTCTAAACCATTAAATCTTTAGAAACAAAACTGACAACTATCACTTCCTGGTTGCAGCAACAGGCTCTAAAGCAGACACATTACATATTTTAAATCTTTTTTCATTTTCCTCCTGAGCACACAGCCAAACTACTTTAGCCAGTCTCCCCTGAAGTTAAGTAGGCTCATGAAATTGAGTTCAAGACAATGAATGTAGGCAGAAGTGATAAAGGCTATTTCTTAGGCTTAATCCCAAAACTTCAAAATATCCTGGGTGATCTTGCATATTGTCTCTCAAACTCTCTACAACCTAGATGTCAACTCCAAAAAAACTTTAGTGACAATTTTAATTATAGTTGACCTTTGAATAACTTGGGTTTGAACTGCAAGGGTCCACTGATACATGGATTCTTTTCTTCATAAATACAGTATAGTACTATAAATGTATTTCCCTTAAGATTTTAACAACATTGCCTTTTCTCTATTTTACTTTTATATTAGTTTTATTTATTTGACAGAGAGACACAGTGAGAGAGGGAACACAAACAGGGGGAGTGGGAGAGGGAGAAGCGGCCTTCCTGCTGAGCAGGAGCCCAATGCGGGGCTCGATCCCAGGACCCTGGGATCATGACCTGAGCTGAAGGCAGACACTTAACAACTGAGCCACCCAGGTGCCCCTTCTCTATTTTAAGAATACAGTATACAACACATATGATATATAAAATATGTGTTGATTGACTGTTTAGGCTATCAGTAAGGCTTCTGGTCAACAATATCCTATTAATAGTTAAGTTTGGGGGGAGTCAAAAATTATATGCAGATTTTCACACATGCAGGGGGATCAGCACCCCTAACCCCCATGTTGTTCACACATGCACATCAAATCTTTATCCATTCAGTGATGGACACATAGGTTGCTTCCATATCTTGTCTATTGTAAATAATGTTGCAATGAACACACAGGTGTTCATTCGAATTACTGTTTTCGTTTTCTTCAGATAAATACCCAACAGCAGAAGTGCTGGATCATATGGTATTTCTATTTTTAATGTTTTGAGGAACCTCTATACTATTTTCTATAGTGGCTACACCAATTTGCATTCCCACCAACAGTGCATGACGGTTCTCTTCTCTGTATCTTCACTAAATGTGTTATTTCTTGTCTTTTTGATATTAGCCATTCCAACAGGGGTAGTATCTCATTGTGGTTTTGATTTGCATTTCCCTGATAATTAGTGATGTTGCATCTTTTCACGTGCCTGTTGGCCATTTGTATGTCTTCTTGGAAAAATGTCTGTTCAGGCCCCATTTTTAAACAGGTTGGGTTTTTTCTTTTTTGTTTTGTTTTTATTACTGAGTTGTACGAGTTCTTTATATATTTTGGGTATCAACCCCTTACTGGATATATCATTTGCAAGTATCTTCTTCCATTCAGTAAGTTGCCTTTTCCTTTTGATGAGTTCCTTCACTGTGTATAGTCCCATTTATTTATTTTTGCTCGTTGCCCTTGCCTAAAGAGACATACCCAAAAAAATATTGCCCTAAGAGCAATGTCAAAAAGCTTACTACCTATATTTTCTTCAAGGAGATTTATGGTTTCAGGTCTTATATTCAAGTCCTTAATCCATTTAGAGCTTATTTTTTTTTTTTAAAGATTTTATTTATTTATTTGACAGAGAGAGACACAGAGAGAGCAGGAACACAAGCAGGGGGAGTGGGGGAGGGAGAAGCAGGCTTCCCGCTGAGCAGGGAGCCCGATGCGGGGCTCGATCCCAGGACCCTGGGATCATGACCTGGGCCGAAGGCAGACGCTTAACGACTGAGCCACCCAGGCGCCCCTAGAGCTTATTTTTGTATATGGTATAACAAAGTGGCTCAATTTCATTTTTTCTCTTGTAGTTGTCCAGTTTTCACAACACCAGTATTTAAAAAGGCTGCCTTTTCCCCATCATCTGCTTTTGCCTCCATTCATGTAGATTAATTGACCACATAAATGTGGGCTTATTTCTGGGATTTCTATTCTATTCTGTTGATCCAGGTGTCTGTTTTTGTGGTACCATACTATTTTCATTACTATAGCTTTATAGTATAATTTGAAATCAGGGAGCATGAGTCCTCCAACTTTGTTCTTCTTTCTCAAGGTTGCTTTGGCTTTTTGGGGCCCATAAATATTTTAGGATTATTTGTTCTGGCTCTGTGAAAAATGTCATTGGCATTTTGAGAGGGATTACACTGATTCTGTAGATTACTTTGGGTAGTATGAACATTTTAACAGTATTAATTCTTCCAATCTATGAGCATGGTGTATCTTTCCATTTTGAGGGTGGCCTTCAATTTCTTTCCTCAAGGTCTTATGGTTTTCAGGGTATAGATCTTTCACATCCTTGGTTAAATTTATTCCTAGGTATTCTGTCCTTTTTGATACAATTATAGATGGGATTGTTAATCTCTATGCTACTTATTATTAGTGTATAGAAATATAATGGATTTCTGTATATTAATTTTGTATCCTGCAACTTCACTGAATTCATTTAGTAGTTCCAATAGTTTTTTGATGGTCTTTAGGGTTTTCTCCATATAGTATCATGTCATCGACAAACAGTGAAAGTTTTACTTTTTTTCAATTTGGATGCCTTTTATTTCTTTTCCATGCCTACCAGCAGTCACTAAGCCTTCCAATATTATGTTGAATTAAGATGGCGAGAGTGTGCATTCTTGCCTTGTTCTTAATCTTAGAGGAAAAACTTTCAGCTTTTTACCATTGAATATGATGTCAGCTGTGGGTCTGTCATGAATGGCCTTCATTACTGTGGGTCTGTCATATACAGCCTTCACTATGTTAAGGAATGTTCCGTCTATACCCATTTTGTTGAGTGTTTATCATAAACAGATACTGAATTAAGTCAATGCTTTTTCTGCATCTACTGAAATGATATGATTTTTACACTTTGTTCTGTTAATGAGGTGTACTACACTGATTGATTTGCAAATGTTAAACCATCCTTACATCCCTGAAATAAATCTCATTTGGTGATGGTGTATGATCCTTTTCATGTATTGCCGACTTTGGTTTCTTGAGAATTTTAGCCTCTGTGTTCATCAGGGATATTGGCCTGTAGTTTTCTTTTTCCACAGTGTCTTTGTCTGGTTTTGGTAATGGGGTAATGCTGGCCTCGTAAAGTGAGTTTGGAAGTGTTCCTTCCTCTTCAATTTTGTGTAATAGTTTCAGGCAGATAGATATTAACTCTTCTTTAAATTTGTGGTAAAATTTATGTGTGAAGCCATCTCGATCTGGCCTTTTATTTCTTGAAGTTTTTGTACATGATTCAATTTCATTACTAGTAATTGGTCTATTCGGATTTTCTATTCTTCATGGTCAATCTTAGAAGACTGTGTTTCTAGAAATTTATCCAACTCTTCTAGGTTGTCTAATTTGTTGGCATATAATTGTTTACAGTATTCTCTTATGATCCTTTTTATTTCTGTGGTATCAGTTGTAATTTCATTTCAGATCTGATTTTATTTGGGCTTTTTCATTTTATTTTATTCTATTCTATTCTATTTTATTTAGTGATGAGTCTGGCTAGACGTCTATCAATTTTGTTTATCATTTCAAAGAACCAGCTCTTTGTTTCATTGATCTTCTCTGTTTTTTTATTTCCTATTTCATTTATTTCCACTCTGATCTTTAATTTCCTCCCCTCTACTAACTTTGGGCTGGTTTGTTCTTCTTTCTCTAGTTCCTTTAAATGTAGATTGTTTATGTAACATTTTTCTTGTGTCTTGAGGTAGGCTTGTATTGTTATGAACTTCCCTCTTAAACCGGCTTTTGCTGTATCCCAAAGATTTTGGAATGTTGTGTTACATTTTCATTTGTCTCAAGGTATTCTGGATTTCCTCTTTGATTTCCTTGCTGACCCACTGGTTGTTTAACATGTTGTTTAGCTTCCACATGTTAGTGTTTTTTCCAGTTTTCTTCTTGTAACTGATTTATAGTTTCATACCATTGTGGTTGTAAAAATACTTGATATGATTTCAATCTTCTTAAATTTACTGAAACTTGTTTTATGGCCTAACATACGAGCTATCCTAGACAATGTTCCATGTGTATTTGAAAAGAATGTGTATTCTGCTGTTTTAGGATGGAATGTTCTATATGTATCAAGCCCATGTGGTCTAATACGTCATTTAAGGTCAATGTTTCCTTACTGATTTTCTGTCTGGATGGCCAATTCACTGATCCAAGAGGGTATTAAAATCCACTACTATTACTGTATTTCTCCTTTTACTTCTATTAATATATCTACCTTATATATTTAGGTACTCCAAATTGGGTGCATAAACATTTAAAATGTTATATTCTCT